TCCTGGCAGCCCCCACCCTGCTGCACACACTGGATACTGCACACAGCTTCTAGGTCACGGTGACCAGGACCCTGGAGTCCCTGAGGCAGCGTAGCAGCTGCATGTCGCATAGAATGGGGCCACCGCACTGATGGCAGAGTCCACACAAAACCAGGACACAGAGGAGGGAGAGACAGAGACAAGAGAGACAGACAAGATGGGGGGACAGCCCAGAGACCAGCTGGCCGGACGCGGGGCTGCAGCACACAGGACAGCAGGCCAGGGACACAGCGCCCACAGCTCTGTTAGGGGGAGGGCCACAGGCCGGGGCTGAGAGCAGTGAGAAGACCTGGGATGTGCTTTGCCTTTAACTGGCTCTGCGATGCTCCCAGCAGGCTTTGGGAGTGCTGCTCAGGAGCGCTGAGGGCCGGGCATTGTGGGAAACTGACTGAATGGCCTGAGAAAAGGCACAAAGCAGGAGTTTAAAAAGCCAAGTATGGGAAGCTTGCCCCCAAGGATGCAGAGACAGGAAGATGAGAAAGAGAAGCTGGGAGGCCAAGGGCAGAAGAACCAGAAAACCAGGAGCAGAGGGTGTCTCTGCAAAAGCCCCAGGTCTGGAGGCCACACTTAGGTTTCAAGGGGGCCCAAGAGGAAGGGCTGCAGTTCTAGAGACCTGGGGAGGAGCATGGTGAGGTCTGCAGCAGCACTGCGAAAGCAGGGGACACAGGTCAGATACCAGTCAGCTCAAGAGAAGGAGCAGCAGGAGAAGAGCAGACTCCAGAGCCAGTGTGCAGGCTCCAGAGCCAGTGTGCAGACCCCAGAGCCAGTGTGCAGACCCCAGAGCCAGTGTGCAGACCCCAGAGCCAGTGTGCATACCGGTGTGCAGGCTCCAGAGCCAGTGTGCAGACCCCAGAGCCAGTGTGTACACAGTGTGCAGGCTCCAGAGCCAGTGTGCAGACCCCAGGGCCAGTGTGCAGACCCCAGGGCCAGTGTGCAGACCCCAGGGCCAGTGCAGACGTGTGCACACCAGTGTGCAGGGTGCAGACCCCAGGGCCAGTGTGCATACCAGTGTGCAGACCCCAGAGCCAGTGTGCAGACCCCAGGGCCAGTGTGCAGACCCCAGGGCCAGTGTGCAGACCCCAGGGCCAGTGTGCACACCAGTGTGCAGGGTGCAGACCCCAGGGCCAGTGTGCATACCAGTGTGCAGACCCCAGAGCCAGTGTGCAGACCCCACAGCAGGTGTGCAAATCCCACAGCCAGGGTAGATCACCCCAGGCCAATCTCCATTTAACAGAAGGCAGACATTCAACATCACACACACCATAGCCAGCCTGGAAGGCATTGGCTCTCTCCAGGGAAGACGTTACACTAGAGAAAATTAGGTGGAGTGGTAAATAAACAAGCACACTCAGGAGAGCAGCAAGGGTGCTGCTCCGGCCGAGCCAGCGTGTGCCCCAGCCAGCCCAGGCAGCCTCACGCAGAGGTCATCTCTGCTGTCCCGCACAGCAACACTCATGACTCCAACTCACTCTACTCAGAGAACAACAAAGGACGATTTCGTAGCTGAAAGGAGATTTAAATTTCTCTTTTCAAAAGTAGCGTGTGGGGCTTGCGCTCCCTCCTGGCCGGAGGCCAGCTGCGCTGCTCCCTGGCCGGCCTGTGTGCACAGCTCACCGTGGGGTCCCCGGGAGGCCCTGGCTTCACTCGCCCCGCTCGGCCGGCCCGCGCTCGCGTGCACCTGCTTGGCAACGTGCCCCGGGCCCCCCTTCCCCGCCTCCTGATCATACCATCACAGACGTTTGTAGGATGTTGTGAACTGACCAGCCTCTGTGAACGTGACTGCATGTTCTTGTCTTCTCGCCCTCCGATTCTCCGTTTTAATGCTGGCTGTTTTCTCTGCCTCTCCTTGTCAAGTTCTTGCCATGCACGAAAATGTTCTCAAGTGTCCCACTCCGGGCTGCACGGGGCGCGGTCATGTGAATAGCAACAGGAACTCTCACAGAAGGTAAGCCACGCACGGCCAGGCTCCACGCGGGCAGCGACTGTCCACAGCCCCCTCCACGGAGCCGCCCTGCCACACACACCCCTCCTTTCCCCGAGAGAAACCCCAAACTCCCAACAGCCCTGGCAGCGGCTTCCAGGGGACACGGTTGGGTCACACAGCACCAGAAAAGGTCCGAGTTCTGATGCTCTTCTTGTAGATGGGCTGTCTCTCTTGTCTTAGTTACCCCATGCTGACGGGGCTCCACCCCTCATGCTGTGCCCTCCCCACTGGGACATCTGAGGTGGGACCACAGCCAAACACAGCACCAGCTAGCATGAGGCCAGCCTCCACCAGCCCCACACGGAGCGGAGGACCGCAGCCACGTGTGGCACAGTGAACCGTGTCACAGGACATTACCTCCTGCGAGCCCCAGGCCAGGAGCAGAGACATAGCTGGAATACTTGCTGGTGTCCCAAACACCAAACATGGTGACGGTTCTACCCAGCTGAGTAACTGCTAGACCATGGCTGTGTGCTTTGGTGTAGGACATTCTAGCTCTCCTTTCCTATCCTTTTTGCATTTCACTAGTGATATTGTTTCCATAATATTCCGTTTATATCAGATACTTCTTTATTTCAGTAGCAGGAAAGAGACTTGGTTCACACTCATCCAGCCATCTGTAGTGTCTGTTTTTCATGCTCCTAAGAGACTATATCCAAATGTGGGAACTGTTCTCTTCGATTTCTGTTTGTGTGACTGATAAACACAGTGACTTGTCCTCCATTTACACTGCTCCCCTGTGCCGGCCCACGCTTTGCCTGGTGCATTAGACTGGAGAGGTCCCCTCTGGGCGGTTGTTCTGGGCTGCTCACACCTGGTGATGACGTGGGCATGGGGTCTGCAGGCGTGCAGACGCCCTCATTCTGTGGGAGCAGCCCCAACACATCCCATCAGCCTCCCCTTCCTACTAACCCCAAGGAGCTCTGGAGCACAGCCCTGCAAACGGTCTCTCCACAGTTCTGTTTTCTTTCTTGTGGGGAACACAAGAGAACCAAGGCCGGTGAGTCTGCCGCTCAGGGCCAGCCTGGGCTCCGTCTCCTGGCCCAACCCATTAATTGCCTCTCTCAGAAGAGAAGCTCATCTTCCAGAAGACATTGCTGCCTCTTCTCCAGAAGAGGGGAATGTTCCAGAACAGAGCCTCTGGGTTGCAACTGGCCCACGGCCTCTTACAACGCGGGACCGGCCGTCCCCGGAGAGGGTCACACCCTCTGACCCTGCGGCCCTCCGTGCTAGGTCATTTCCCTCGGTCGCAGCTGCCCACAGTGGGTTGGGGCCTACCCACTCCCAGGCCGCACCCCTGGCTCCTCCTGGCTGAGGGGGAGGAAATGGCAGTTGGATCAGCATATTGTGCAGCCATCGGAGACTGGACAACTAACCCGATTTCTGTCCTTGCAGCCTCTCTGGATGCCCTATTGCTGCGGCAGAGAAATTGGCCAAGGCCCAGGAAAAGCACCAGAGCTGTGAGGTGTCCAAGTCCAACCAGGCCTCAGACCGCGTCCTCAGGTACCCGACGGGAGTGCGCGGGCGTGGGGCCGCTGGGGCCGTGCCCAGGGAGTGTTCCATGGGGCCACGGGGGAAGGGGGGCCAGGCCGGAAGCCTGAGTGTCCCCCCCGCCCCACACATGAGCAACGTCTCGGGTCCCTGGAGGACAGCCTGCTCCCGTCTCCGTGGGCCCAGCCCCACGGTTACCGGGGTCTCGGGTCCTCTCGGAACCTGACCCACCCTAGTGCTCTGAAGGCTGATGAAGGGAGCTAGGGCGTGAACACAGTGCCCGAGGTGGGGCGTCTGGATCCTGGCGGGGGCTTGGTGCCAACCGCAGGACCCTGTTTCTGAGCGTGCGAGAGCCAAGTGCACCTGGCAGGCATGTGCGCTTCGTGAGAAACCATCAAAGCCGTGGTCTCCCTTTACCCTCAGACTCCCAGGGGCGCAGGGAAGGGGGCGGAGCCACTGCTCGGAGTGCAGAGACTGGGAGAGACCCAGGGGAGGGGCTGCAGCCCTGTTCTGTCAGGGAGAGGAAGCACGGCCATCTCCTTGAGCTGAGGAGGAAGCCTCACCTCACAGCCTCCATGTGGAAATTCACACCCTCCACCATGTGAAACCTTGACAGTCATTAACCCAGAGCACAGAGCACAGAGCAGAGCACAGAGCAGCACCCAGCACCCAGCACCCAGCACCCAGCACAGAGCAGAGCACAGAGCAGCACACAGCACCACACAGCACACAGCACCACACAGCACACAACACACAGCACACAGCACACAGCACAGCACACAGCACCACACAGCACACAACACACAGCACACAGCACACAGCACACAGCACACAGCACCACACAGCACACAGCACACCGCACACAGCACACAGCACACAGCACCACACAGCACAGCACACAGCACAGCACCACACAGCACACAGCACACAGCACACAGCACACAGCACCACACAGCACACAGCACACAGCACCACACAGCACACAGCACAGAGCACCACACAGCACACAGCACACAGCACACAGCACCACACAGCACCACACAGCACACAGCACCACACAGCACACAGCACACAGCACACAGCACACAGCACACAGCACACAGCACACAGCACCACACAGCACACAGCACACAGCACACAGCACACAGCACCACACAGCACACAGCACACAGCACA